GTTTCTTCAAGCTGTTGCAAATTCTCCCAAATTTTCCAATATATTTATTGAAAAAACCCACGGTTAAGTGCAAGGGTCAACTATATACATACATTTAGATGTAATATCCTCATTTTCTTTAATTACATGTAATAGAGTTTTAAAGAGTCATAAGAAACCATATTGATGGTATAGGTTTGGATCCCTTGTACTCTCAATTCTTTTGTTTCTACCCAGTGTTGGAACAGACAGGCTTAGTGCTGCAGGAAAGAAAATCAATGGGTAATTACCGTGAACATCTAAAAAGATCCCTTTTAGATGTAATTTCTTTAGTGCATTTTAGGTGTTAAAATCACATAAAAAATTTTTCATCTCTACGTATTTTTAATGGTGAGAAAACACGTAACTCAAGGACAGGGGATATGCAGGAGTACTTAGGGAAACAAACAAAAACATGTGAAGCATGTATGACAAAATGTTAAAAATGTTATTAAAGCTTCATAGTAGATACGCTGGTTGTCAGTTTATTACTTTCTATGTACTTTTTCTGTAAGTCTGAAATAGTTTATAAGAATAAAACCACACAATGGGAAAAATGCTTACCACCTAATCTTACACAGGAAAAAAAAAACTTTATAGAGCATCAACCCAATCTTGAAGATATAAACAAAAAGAAAAAAATCATGTAGAAAATAAATGATAATGATCTATATGTTAAATTATAGCTGATCTAATTTTGCTTCTGCACATAGCTTTATTATTTTGGTAGAAATGATAAAATATTCATTTTAAGAAAATTCAACCAAATCCCACTATGAGGGATTAAACATCTTTTAATATTTTTTGAAACATCTCTCTGTGCATATTTACAATTTTATTTAAATACTTGCTGTTTGGAACCCGCTCTTCTCATCCAATGGTATCTTTCCATGCCAACTATATCGTCATTTGTGGCTGCCTTTGACATTCACTGAAAACATATGCCACTACTTAACTCATCTCCAACTGGAGGGCAGGCATATATATGGGTTCTTTGAGAAAGGTATGTGAATGCAAAATCATTATTTAATAATAATGATTAAATCAAAGACAAAAGTAACCTCTACCCAACTTATTTTCTCTCTTCCACCCATCCCCACATTTGTGTATTATTTCATTCATTTGTGAATGACACTTTACCAAGAAACCTCTTCACCGTGCTTTTATCAATCCTATGAATCTCAGATTATTGGAATATAATTCATACTTTTAGAATTGCCTAAACATCTATTTTACCAATTTTTCTGTGTATGTGAGGTACTTTTTTTTTAATTATTAGAGGTTACAAAGTTTTTAAATTAGTATTCCTCATATTAAGTCGGCTCATTATATTCAAACTTTGTTCATGGTTGATTTTTGTGATCTCTTTGCCATTCAGATTAGAATTAAGTGGTCAAAAGTTTCCGAATTTTGAGGCACAGGTCTTCCCCACTTCACCATTATATTTAACCTTTGTCTTTCTCTGTTTTATTTTTGTACTTTTAAAATTTTGACTTATCTGGGATTTATTTGGCCTTAAGGAGTGTCCAGCTCTATAGTTTCCAAATGCCTAGTCATTTTATCCCAAGAAAAGCTACCTTTACCATATATTAAATTCCACAAATACTTACAAATTTTCACTTGGGTTCTGCACTGTTCCATACCACATTGTTTTAAATAAAGCATTTTTTAAATGTTTCAACATCTAGTAGGTTGTCATACCCAAGAACATTTATTAAATCTTCAGAGATAACTCTGAATAGATTTGAATATATTTCTTCAAGTAAGATGTGCACACTTCTTTAAAATCTTCCTATTTTTAGGAAATCTTAAAATATATTCTTTGTTACTATTATAAATGGAATTTCTTTTCCATTATGTTTTCTAATTGCATTTTGCATTATACCTTTGCAACAATTTAAAATAAAAATGGAGCTAAAAACAACTGACATATGATTTAAAATTAAAACCTTTGTAAGATTATAACAGACACTTTAAACATAAACATAAGAAAAGCCGTAGACCAAAAGATGTTAATCATGTCTAAGAGTAGCATTCAAAATACAAAACATAAATCAGCAAGATCAAAAACAATCCAACAGAAAAATGGGCAACAACTATGAACAGACTTTCACAGAAAATGAAATACGAATGGCTAATAAGATAGTGAAGAGGCTCAACCACCTTAAGCTGGTAAAAAGGAAATCTCAGTTTTGACAAGTGTGTATGTGAAACAAGGGTACTGTCATACACTACTAGCAGGAATGCAAATTAGTAACAAGTACTTTGGTATACAAAATACAGACAAGTGTATGTATACCCTAGGAACTAGACATTACAGTCCCAGATCTCTTAGAAAATTAACATTCATTTATGGAAAAGAAAAAAATGAATTAAAAATAGCCACTGCACCATTTGCATTACTGAAAAATATAAACAATCTAGATGTCCACGAACAGGAGAATGAAGAAATAAATTGTGGCAAATTAGTATAATGGGATAGTATAAGCAAAAGAAACAAACTTGAGAGTATCGACAAGGATAAATGTCAGTAACAATGTTAAGTGAAAAAAGCAAGTTTCAGAAGGAAACATAATGACACCATTTTGAAAATACAGAATACTCTGTTATTTATGATAGAGTTATTATAAGAAAAAGGCATAAATGTGGATGGGAGGGATGCATGCTAACTTCAGAAACAGCTGCCCCTAAGTTAAGGAGAGAATATCTGGTATTTCTTAAAAAAAAAAATACAAGAACCGAAGCAAATTAAGCAAAATGTAAACCCATTTTTTAAGTCTAGCAGGTATATCTATGGGTATTTGTTTATTATTTATATGTGTATATTACTCTGTACATTATGTTATTTTGAAGTACTTCAAAATCAAACTGCAGTTATTTTAGTATTTCATGTTTTTATATTGCCAGTTTTTAGTTTCATACATATATTTTATTTAAAACATGAAATTTACCACTTATTCTCACTCTAAAATGGCTTTGATATCATTAATTTTAAAGTATATCACACACTTTGGCAACTATTAAAATAATCATACAATTTCTTTCATTTGGCCAATTAACATGGCAAATTATTTCTTATTTTTAAATTATTGGAATTAACCCAACTTAGTCATGATGGTTTCTTTTTTTAGGTCTTAATGGATTTTTATTTGTGAATTGATGTAAAAACCACTTCTGGGTATATATCAAGAGAAATGAAAATACATGTTTACATAGAAACTCATACATATATACTTAGAGCAGCATTATTCACATTAACCAAAAGGCTGAAACAACTCAAATGTCCGTGAGTGGATGAATGGTTAAACAAACTTTGGTATATACAAACAATGGAATATATTATTCATCCATAAATAGGAACTAAGTACTTACGTATGTTATAACTTGGTTGATCCTTGAGAACATCATACTAAGTTAAAGAAGCCACACACAAATCTTGACATATTGTATGATTGTTTTTACATAACATTTGCAGAATATACAAACTCATATAGATAGAAAGCATACTGGAGAGTGCCAGGGAATGTGAGAAAGGAGAATGGGAACTCATTAATAGGTATGGGTTATTTGTAAGGAGGTGATAAAAGTTTTGAAACTAGAAGGAGGTAGTCATTACACAGCATTGTGTATATACTAAATACTTCCAAATTATGGTTGATAGCATATTATATGAATTTCATCTCAATTTTTAAAAAATGATATAAAAAGACTGAGTAAAATATAGTGACACTGGTCTGCATTTTCTTTCATTAGAAATCCCTTTCTTTAGGCTTTTTTAAATTTTTAATAATCAGAAAAAGATTTTTAAATGTAAATCAGAAAGGTAGGTAGGGATAAATTTAGCATTATAACAGTTGAATCATAAGTGAAGATAAAATATCTACTTACAGTAGAAAAGATTTTTCAAAATATATCTTTGGAATACTCAATTTGAAACAGAAATTCCCATTTTTTAATTAGAATAGTCTCCTTTAAAATGATTTGAGGAAACAAAGGAAATGTTTAATCTCCATTATTTTGGATTTTTAATCTGAGATAATCCATTAATCTACACAAATTCAAACCCTCTGCAGGACTACTCTTATCTTTTACCTTCACTAATGAATCCAATAAATTTCCTTAAGTCAAAATAAAATACCACAAAATCAAAAGAAATAGAACTCTTAAGATAAAAAGGGGAACAAATTAGGGCTAATTTCTTGAAGTAGATATACTGTATGACAGACTATCTTAAGTATAATTATATTTACCTTTTAATATATAATTATAATTACCTTTTCTTTCTCAGTTGCATCCTTTGACTTCTTTTTTTTTTTTAAACTATCCTAAACACATAAAAATATGTATCAATTTTAAATGTAATAGATACAGCATTATAGTTTAAGGACAAAAACACCAAAAAGATGACTTGCTCTGACTGAAAAAAGTTGCCTCAACATCAGAATTTTATTCTGAAAATAAAGGAGAAATGTATGTGGTGTACGTATGTGCTTGTAAGGAAATGACATCTCTTTATCTGGATATCAAATCTATATATACCTAAAATGATAGATATTGCTGTAATAATCACATGGTTTATTTTAAAGTAAGACTATGTCATTGCCTGTTTTTGCCTGCAGTAGTCATTATTCACACTGTGCTTGGACATCTACCACTCTGCTTTCCCCACTCTCCTTATAAGGAGGGGAGACAGAATTTCTGCTTTTGAATCCCTCAGTTCTAGCTTTTAACCTTCCCAAGCTTTCTTTATTCATAATGTGGGATAACAAATAACTACTTCACAGGGTTGCTGAGGACTGAGATAGTAAGTCAAGTGTTTAGAACTGTGCCTAACACATAGTAGGCGTTCAATAAATGTCAGCTGTCAGCATCACTAACTGGCTCTTCTGCTTTAAAAACAAAACAACCTTTACTGAATACTTCTAGAAGTTAGGCATTTTATCAGAAGAAATCTCACTAGGACAAGTAGTTATCTGCCACAAAACCAGCTGCTTTGTTTTCCTGGGACCCCAAGACAGTGCCTGTCAAATTGTGGTTTATGGATACTCCTGTGTCAACAGAGGACAACTGTTAAAAAATGTAGATTTCTGAGCCAAGTCAGACTTATTAAATCATGCTCTGGAGATGAGGCAGAGGCATCTTACACTTTTACTGCAACTTGCATATATTTCTTATGACCACTAATGTTTGACAGCCTACTGTCTCTGACAATTCTGGATAGAACAGAACAGATTTAGGTACAGTGGAAAGGACACTGAACCAGACAGAAGATACAGAATCAACTTCCAATTCTAAATACTAGCTGTATGAATTTCGGCAAGATGTTTTTTCTCTAAACTATGATTTCTTTATAAAAATGGGAAAAATAATGTCTGCTATGCTCATCACAAAGCCATGTGAAAGTATTTAGGGAACAATTAAATGCCATATATAAGATAGTAAGTACATCAATTAAGTGGCACAGAGAATCAAAGTACAAAAGAACAGTATCTCATTACAGCAATTTAAGATAGGAAGAACTACAAGAAAAACCTAATTAAATGTTTTCATTATCCAAAATATTGCTAATTTAAATTTTACCTTACTGTCTGATTCAGTTTCTGACAAGGAGCTTTCAGAAGATTTATGTGAACGATTCTTCTTTTTCTTTTTCCTTTTTCCTTGTTTCTTATCCTATATAAAATATTTTTAGAAATATTTGCTTCCTTTTTCAAAAATATAATTGATGCACTTTATCAATATTAAAGCTTTACCAATGAACAAAACTTAAGAACCAGCTTGTGAATATGTTTTACTTAAAAATTAATGTTTAAAATACAACTTTAATATTTTATTTTAAAAAGTCAAGTGAATTAAATTACATGTAATCCTCAACATTTGGTCAAAAAGCATTTTAGATTTTTCAAATTCATCTACTGATATTTTAAATGAACAGGATAAACGTACGAATCTAACAAATATATATATATATACACACACCACTGTTTATCTAGCTGTTGATTCATGTCACTGATCTCAGTTATGGAAGTAAACATTTCTAACAGATATTTCAAAAAATGGGTTTCCTCTTGTTGTTAAAGAAATTAGAAATACTATTTCATGATTAGCACAGGCAATCCTTACCTCATCTTCAGAATCTGAAGAACTGCTGGAAGAATCAGAGCTTGATGAAGAAGAAGATGAATACTTGACCAAGCACAAAAAATTAAAGCTTGTGAGATGCAGGAATTTTTTTCTTTTACTAAGTGTTTCAAACGTTTAACAAAATCAATCTAGTGTCTGAGAAAAAGACACCAGTATTCATAAGACTTAAATATTAAATGTCAAATATCACTTTCCCTCACCAAAGTAACAACAGACATGGCAATGACAGTCAATTTTACCTCTTTAATAGGCCATTTGGAGGTTGGACCTTCCTTTTATGTCACTAATAGAACAAAACCACCCACATCTACTAAAGACCTCCAGGCTCCTTAACTACATCTAGAGTTAGCATACAGGTTACACAAATTATTCTTACTTTTGTAGGCTCTTAATCATAACATTTAGAAAAATGGAAAATTTTTGCTCACCCTACCAGATTTCTTCTTTTCTTTTTTCTTTCTCTAAAAGCAAACAAATAAAAGTACAAATGTGAATAAGTTGATATGTGTTTTCAAATGTTACCTATTAATAGTAGTAACACAGCACTATGAAACCCCAACTATGAGATTAAGAGCAATAAACTAATAATGGTATTACCTGTCTTTTCTTGGATGAGCTCTCACTTCCGCTTAATAATTTCTCCCTGTGTTTTTCTAGTTCTTTTTTCCAGTTCTGCAAAATGGTTTTAAACACCATCAGAGACTAAGAATTTCTAACACACCTAATACAGAGAGCCACTGCTCACCCATCTCAGCCTCTAATTAAGTCAAAAATACAGCAGGTGTCAGAATTCTTTATCCAATCACCAAAGGAGACTACTAGCTCTTTTCAGAGAGGATATTATGGGATGGGTGTTCTCCACTGTGTATTAAGAGGCAAAGTAGGCACTATTAATAAGGCTGAGAATTTCTTCCTTTATTAACAAAGATGGTTAGATTCTTCCTACTAGATGATAAAAGTTGAATTAATCTATACTGTAGCTAAAATACTTCATACATGTTTGTAATCAAAAGCAAATATCAGCATGGAAATCCCAGGTTAAGATGGGGGGATGGGGAGAGAAAGGGAAGAACCTAACATTTAGAAACTTAAGATGATTTTAATTACTGATAGTTATAAGATGGTTTTTCACTTTTTTTAAAGAAATCACACATTTATATAGAAACTTGTACTCAATATAATAAAAACACTTCTAAAATATACAGCATCCTTAACCTTAAGAGCCATACTCAAACCCTTGGTTTATTAAGAAATGGTTTTATTTTTTTAATAAGGAAAAAGATTAGTTTATTTTTTTAAAAGATACTATTTACAAACCTCATTCATTTTTTCTTCAAATTCAGCCAAAGCCTTGGAGCCTTTCTTTTTCTTCTCTAGTTGTTCTTTCACTTCTTCCCTTAAAAAATAGAATGTACAAGTAAATTTTCAAGGAATTCAAGTTAGAAATGGATGCTTAGAAACAAGATGATAAAAAATTCATAAAAATACTTTTTATTCCAATAAACCTCTATTGTAGCATTGATATATTTCAAATGTCTTTGTCCACATCCTTGTAAATCAATTATCACTAGTAAAGCCTATCAGATAACACTAATCACTTTGTTAAACATGGATTACAAAAGCTTATACATCAAACTGTTGAACACTTACATACAACAGGCACTGTTTTAGATATACTTTTCTTTAATACTCATGACAATCCTATGAGAAAAGGTAGTATTATTATCCCATTTACAGATAAAAAAGTTGAAGCTTAGGGAATAGAAGAAATCTGCATAAGGTCACAAAGCTATTAGTTTCAGTGTCAGGGTGAGCTAAGGTCTATTTGATTAAACCACTGTGTTTTATTACTAAATCATCCATTTTGTAATGTTCCTCCCACGTTGTGCAGCAAAGAGTTGATACAGCACATCTGACTGCTTATTCATAAAGAGACTGCCCCCAGCTGGGAAGGGATTTCATGAGGGTCCTTACCATTCCCTGGTCAGAGTGGCTCACTCTGCCCATCTGTACAAACACTGAGTTTAGGCTCAACACCTGCATTCCTTTCAGGAGTCTGGAATTTTGGCACCTGATAGGCAGAGGCTGACCAGACTCCAATAAAATCCCTGGGCACACAAGTTTCTTGTGAACTCCCCTGGCTGGCAACGTCACACATATTATCACAACTCACTGCTAAAGGACCTAAATGCACCCTGTGTGATTCCACAGGGGAGGAAGATTTGGAAGCTTGTGCCCAGTCTCCCCTGGACTTCACCCCTGCACCTTTTCCCTTTGATGCTTGTGGCTGGTATCCTTTCATTTTAACGATCTTACTCAAGAGTACAACTCTCTGTGAGTCCTTGCGAATTACCCAACTGAGGGCTATCATGGGGACATTAGACACACGTGTAATGTCCTTGCTTGAGTGCTGCCCCTTTAATGTTCATTCCTTCTCTCCAATTTAAAGGTGAAATAGACTTTGTTTAGGGATACCTAATTTTCTGGTATGCTGCAAGAGGGCAGGCAGCACTTGTGAACACTCTAAGAAGTGGATATGGCTTACTTCCTATTTAATTCAAAGAAAGGATCCCCCATGATGTGATACATAAGCACAGTTTTCAACTACAGCTGCCCAGCTTCCAGGGACCCTTAAAAGGATGCACAAGTTAACAACTCTGAGGCTTGTCTTAAGTTACCTCAGTAACAAGTATTTAATAATAAGGAAGACTTACCACAAAATAATAAGGCCAGTGCAATAATGGTTTGTTTACAAAAGATCAGAACCACTCAGGAGGGCAAAAAACAAAAAACAAAGACCAACTGAAAACAACATTTTAAATAGGAAATCCTAACTTGCTGAAAAGCCAGCAGATAATACTAGAAACAGGCCTAATATAATCCTTCCTAACACCTGAGGGAAGGATGAGATTATTCAGACCTACTGTTTTAAATAGCACAGAACACTGCAAAGTTAAGGTCTTCTTTTAGGAGGCAGAAAAGAGGCTGGTACAAAAAAGGTTATCTGGTAGTGCTTTAAGTTATACTGAGTGGCTGGTCCTCAAATGTTTGCTTTACACTCACAGATGTGTTTCACACATTCAAAAAGCATGTTATCAAATACTGCTTAAAAAATTACGTATCTGGCAATCAATAAAAGCTGTAATAGTAACTTTAAAAAAGTTTATGAAAATATTATAAATGGATAAATTGTTTCACAAATACCAGGTAGGCCTTGGTCGATTCAGATAATCTTGGATCGTTGGCCCTGAAGACTGGATTGGACCCCTTGATCTGGCCATGGCTATTGGGTTCATATAGGCCTTGAAGAAAGAGTAAAAATTAACTCTATTAAAATAACCATTAAAATGCAAAAGCTCACTTACTCATCAAGCAATGTTTATTAAAAATACATTCTATGTCCAACAAAGCATGAACAATCTACCAACTTTTCATTACAAAAATAAATTTAATGCTTTATTAAGCCTCACAAGTTTGGGAAATGAGTCACAGAAAATGTGTTTTTACCAGCAATTTGATGAAAATAATACCTCTTTCTTACTGTAATAGCTTTAAAATGCCTTCTCCTAAAGTCCAATAACCTGTGTGGGTAATAACACTATGCCCACTGGCAAGTAAATTAAATTCCAAACAAGTAAAAGAAGATCTAATTCTATCATTAGTTATTCTCTATCTTCTATCTCAGGAAATACTGTGCCACTCCGATGGCAATTTTACTTGCAAATTAACAGCAGAAATTAAATTATGCACAGCAAAAGAAAATAAACACAACTTCATCAAAATTAAACCATTTGTGCATCAAAGGACACTATCAAAAGAGTTAAAAGATAATCCACAGAAGGGGAGAAAATATCTGCAAATCTTTGATCTATATGTAAGGGATTATATATCCAGAATGCATAAAGGAATCCTACAACTCAACAACAAAAAACCCAAACAACCCAATTAAAAAAGTGTAAAGGACTCTGAACACATTTCTTCAAAGATACTCAAATGTCCAATAAGCACATGAAAGGATGTTCAAAAGTCACTAGTCATCAGGGAAATGAAAATCAAAACTACAATGAGATGCCACCCCACACCTATTAAGGTGGCTATGATCAAAAACAAAATAACAAGTTGTCAAGGATGTGGAAAAACTGGAAACCCTTATGCATTGCTGGTGGGAATATAAAATGGTGTAGCTGTTGTGGAAGCTTGGTAGTCCCTCAAAAAGTTAAACATAGAATCACCACATGATCCAGCAATTTCAACTCTAAATGGAATTGGAAAATAATTGAAAGCAGGGCCTTAAACAGGTATTTGTACACCCATGTTCATAGCTGCGTTATTCACAGTGGCCAAAAGGTGGAAATAACCCGTGTCCATCTACAGAATGGATGAACAAAACATGGTTTACACACACAATGGAATATTATTCAGCCTCAGAAAGGAATAAAATTCTGATACATGTTACAACACAGATGAACCTTGGAAACATGCTGAGTGCAATAAGCCAGACACAAAAGGACAAATATTGTATGATTCAACTTGAGGTAGTCAGAATAAACAAATTCAGAGACAGAAAGTAAACAGAGGTTACCAGGAGCTTGGGAAAGAGGCAATTGGGAGTTACTGTTTAATAGGTACAAAGCCCCTTGTTCAGGATGATGAAAAAGGTCTGGAAATGGATAGTACTGGTAAGTTGCACATTGTGAAAGTACTAATATCAATGAACTAAATGCTCAAAAATGACTAAAATGGTAAACTGTATGTTAGGTATATTTTAATGATAAAAAAATCTACAAAACTCAAATTATGCTCAGTATACTGCACTTACTATAGCAGAAAGAACATATTTTTAGACACTTTTTCTCAAACATACAGTAAGACAAAATAGAGCAGGTTTCTTTGTTAAGAACAGTATCTAGCAAAGTGATGTTTTATTAAAATTCACTTTGCTACAGATATAAAACCTGGTCTTTAACTCAGTCGCAACCTCTTGATACTCATATTCAGTTTTCTAAATTTAAGTCAACAAACATTTATAAAACTTCTGTTTTTTAAATAAAAAGAATTTTGGTTGAAAACAACTATTATCAAGGTTTATTTTAAGGCCTTCAAACCTAATACTTAACATTCCAAAGGAAGTGAAGGAACACAATGTGTTTTTTGCATTTCATTTAACAAAATCTGTAAAAATGACCAACATTTCCCACCTTCGTAACAAATATGTTACATATTTCCAGATTTCTCTGGCAGAGCAAACAATACAAAACACTGTACACAACACACAGCGAGAACTATTTACTTAGTTGGACATGGCCTAATTACCTGGCTTGACAAAATACTTTAACATAATTTTCTAACAGTCAGGAACAAAGGCCAGAGCTCCTAATGTCAAAGATGTTTATAGAATCTGTGCTAGATGTGGATAGCTAGGTATACAGCAACACTCTTTATATCAACTGTTATGTTCTCAAAAGTTCATTCAACTGCCTTTGCTGAGAATTTCACTCAGTTCTTGTGGAAGTTTGACAACCAAGAGAGGCTGCAAAAGAGGAGCTGTTGCCCAACTAATGACACTGACAAGCCTAACCAGAAGCAAGTAAAATGTGCAACCTGAGCTTATTTTAAAAACAGGAGTGTAATATCTATCATTTTCTCATTTCTTTGTTATTATGTCATAATTTTAGCTGTACTTAATGGTGAAGTATTTTAAATTAAAAACTGTGAAAACTGCCTACATTCAAAGAGTGCAAATATATACAAGGATGTTCAAAAACTGTATTGCTAAGAGGGAAAACTGAAATTAGCCAAATAGCCATCAAATTGAGATTCATTAAAGTATGCCCGTAAAATGAAATTCTATGCAGCCGTTAAACAGAACAAGGTAGATCTGTAGTTACTGATATGGAAAGACCTCTACGATTTCTCAAGTGAGAAGCAAAAGCAAGTGCAAAAACAAAGTACTTAGAAAGGTAATAAACAGTTACAAATTAAAAAAAAAAAAAGACATGCATTTGCACCAAATGTAAAGGGAGATGTCCACTTTCATCATTTTGTACACTGGAGAAAAAAATTACCTTTATAAAAGAAAAACATAAACCAAAAAAATTACAAACATTATCATAATATTAATGGTAAATACAATGAGAAAAATCAACCACAGTTACTCACTCTCCAATTCAGAGAGCTGAACTGTCTTCAGGTGAAAATTGACAAATAGCACAGCGGCAATTTTTCCTTTATATACATAAAAAAAATGCTAATGCAACATTTACCATGTTTTAGAGTCTTCAAATTTTCTTATATATCTTAAAAGTGTATTAACATTTTTATGTGTCTTAATGTCAAATGTGAAACTGCTTCCCCAAAGTACATGCCAACCTGTCTGTGTACTTTTCAGAGGAAAATAAAATAGTAAATTAGTATAGTCACATGGTAGGACTACTAATCAGAAAATTTATGGTACAATTACATGAGTTATCACTGAGTAATAAGGCTTAACTTTCAAGCTTCTAACTATAAACACTATTCTCAGTCTGCTTATGTTGCACTCCAAATATCTCATTTATTTTAATTACAATAGTAATATTTACTAAGTGCATCTTACAGGCTAGTCTCTGGCAAAAAGCAGTCTATCATAATCATTAAACAACACTGCTTCCTTCTCCTATGCACACAGAAAGTTTTAAAACAAAATAACTATTTTACAAAGGCAAAGCTTTTTCATTTATTAGACATAATGCTCCTAACATTAAGAGGGTGGGCGGCATCAGTTAAAATAAAGAAATTGTACAATTTCTTGAAAGGTCTCACTATGATTTAATCACTTTAAATACTGAGACCGTGTAAATCAAACACTCACATGTAATTAGTATGTCCGTAGCTCCAAACTGCTGCGTGAGTTTGGGTAAGGCAAAAGGATTTGTTTTTGAAACTCAGGATGGCAAACTGCGCTCAAGGGAATACACAAGTGGGTAGGCAGGAAAAGAGCAATGCTGTGAAAATGCTGAGGACAACATGTGCAGACAAAATGTTCATTTGTTCCTTTAACTGTTTTTATCTAGAAGGAAACTTCTAGAAACCAATGGGCACAAAAGGTGGCCATCAAGAATTTAAGAGACCTTTACAAATCTAGTGCGTTAAATTGCTCAGTTAAAAAAGAACTGTTCACTAAGGTGTAATACCAGGAGTGAGCCCTAATATAAACAATGGACTTAGGTGAAAATGATGTGTCAAGATAGTTCATCAACTGCAACAAAGGTACCACTCTGCTAAGTCTATGGGCAGGGAGTACCTGGGATCTCTGCACTTTCTGCTCAGTTTTGCTGTGAACCCAAAACTGCTCTAAAAAAGCAGTCTATTTAAAGAAAAACAATTTCAACCTGAATTTTTTTAGAAAGTAATTCTGTTATCTTTAATACTATGATTCTTATCAACAATGTAAGAAGGAAAAAATGCCATTATTTTCAGAGGCAAATGCTCATTTTATTTAAAATCCAGAGTTATGATGTACTGAACTAAACTAAACATCACATGACCAAATTTTGGTCCAAGTTTAAACAGCTCCATCTCCTCCTCCATGCAGTGACATGGCTTAATTAGCAATCTGCATCATCCACCTCTTCATTTGTTTTCATTACCACAACCTTGGAAGTACAAGTAAAATGTTACCAGAACACTTTGTGCCATGACAGCATACAGAATACCAAGTGACAAGTAGAGCCCAGTTATTCTCAAAATCTAGTAAATCAAGCTAACTTGAACAACCTTTCAAATGTTTTGATGTGCAAACCAACATTGTTTCCCAGTAAATCAAAGCAACTTAGGCCCCAGTATGAAACTACCCAGGGTCTGGTGACTTCAAAATATTCAAGGCCCAAGATCGTTAAGGAGTCAAAACCTCTTAATACCTTAAGCCTAAGGATGTTCCAGAACACCTTTTCAGCTCTTGAAAATCAGTTACCACAAGGTCTGACCTGAAGTCAGGAAAGCAGATGGAAAAGAATATTCCTCAAACTTGTGATCAAGTTTCACCACTATGGTTTCCAGACATCTCTGATTATGAAGACTTCAATGGTTAAAACTGTCATAGACAAGCATAGGGACCATAAGGTTACAACTTAAACTTACTGCTAACCCCTTAGGGCCCATCCAATCTAATCCATAACCTTCCCCAAACTAACCTCATCATCATATAGAATGCCTTCTTTCCATCTGTACCTGTTCAAAGTACCTTCTTTTTTGAATGCCCCCAGGACCTCTAATTTCCACCAGATATTATCTATTCTCTGCTATTAGTTTCCCTTTATGTCTTTTTATCTCATTCGCTAGAATAACAATTTTCATGCCAAGCACTCGACCGGCTATCTTGCTTTTTGTGGTCTCAAGTATTCTACAAAGTTGTGGATAACACTGACTCCCTTTTACAGATGAAAATACTGAGGCTCCGAGAAGTAACTAGGTCACCTAACTCCCAAGGAACCAAAACTGATATTCTTTAAAGTCAATTATTCTCATGCCGTTCACTCCTTCATAGGCCTACTAGGTGCCAGGCAGTTCTGGGAGCTGGGAGCACCAAGCCAAATGCTCGCATTCTGGTTCTCAAACGGGAGCCCGCACGCCGCCAGAACTGGACGCGCTGCAGCTTCCCTGTTGGGGCGGCGTGCGAGGCCGTCGCGTCTCCATCCCCGCTGGGTGCTCAGGGGAGGGCCGTGATCTGGAGAGGGCGAGCCCCGGCGCCGCCATGGCCTATGAAGCATCTACACCGGAAGGGACCGTTCTCCCTAAGCCCTTGTGACTCTAAGAAACTGGACACTACTGGCCCGAGTACGGGAGAGAAGGGAGCCAGGGGGCACCGCCATAGAGTGCGGCGGGGTTGGGAAGTGGTTAAGAAAGAGGGGACCGAGGGGAAAGGCTAGAGGCAGGAGAGCGCGGGGACCCGAAGGCGCTAGAGGCGCGGGCGGCGCATGCGCGGCGGGGGGAGCGAGCTGGGTCTCCGGAGCCGGACGCGGCCGCTGACCCTCGGGCCCCGCCGGGAGAAGCCAGGGGTCTAGCTCCCCTCCGGCGCACCCCAAGTCGCCCCACTGTCTTCCCCCTCGGATACTCACCACCCTATTGTCCCGCTTCCCCATGGTGCCGGGATGAGCGCGGTCAGACGCCGAGGAACACCGTGCCACAAAAGCGACCGAAGCCAGCCCGCCGCACGTCCTCCTGCCGACTCCACTACGCCCAGAGAGCGGCGCCGCGCGTATTCGGCCACCGCGCCGGGCCACAGCGCCACCTGGCGTCGCGGAGGAGAGGCGGGCGCCGGCCACCACCGGCCGTTCCCAGCGGGGGCCTGGTGGATTCCCCCTCTTCACCACCTTCTCTGGGGCAGGCGGGCACTGCTCTTCGGTACAGCAGCCTCACCAAGGCAGCTCACTTCCGTCTGGCCTTGGATTGTTTTGCCCTCTTCCATTCCGATGCGCTGAAATCCTCATTCTAGGGGATTCAAAGATAATTTCAGCCGTTAATTGGATGTTTAACTTAGTGCAAGTTCTTCGGGTAAAAGTGAGCACCAGGACAAACATACTCCCTCACAAAGTCCATCAGGTGGTGGGAGAGAAGACAGTGTTGTCATAGATGTTACCAAAGAAATCGCCCTTCAAGTTCACTGCCATTCATTCCTCACCCATGCATTCATTTCACACTGAATTCTGAACATCTACTTTGTGCAATTCACTAACTGGGTGTCTGGAAACTGGATGTGGTGCAGGACACAAAGATGATTAAGACACAAGCCCTACCTTCAAAGGACCTACCTTTATAACCTGGCAGAAGAGAGAAACACACACAGTGCCAACCTTACTGCATGTCATGTCATAATAATGTCAGAACAATACTAAAGCTTCAAAGAAGGTGATCTGGGCTCCAGAAGAATCATTGTATTTATAAAGTATTTATAGACCTGGATAAAGCTGGGCTCATCACAGCAATGTATCATTAGAAAGTATTTGAAAATCAATTTGAATCTTTTCTGGACTCTTGGAAAGCAGCAAAATGGGTTTATACCCTGTTACATACAAGGTAGCACCTTCACCTAATTTTTACCCATTTCTCATTTCTCTCTCTTTTTCGTACTGCATTGCACAGCAGATGCTGCCAGCTCCCATTTCCTCTCTCAAAATTTTCCCAGACTCTCTTAAATACAGCCATCTGTGGTATGCTCCCCAGTAAATGTTCATTTTTCTGAGTAACTCACTTTGCTTTTTACTGTAAATTAGGCTTCCAGTCTTTCATTTCTCCTCCTCCTTTATTACTCCTGAAAAAACTGGGGATTCTCTGACCAAAGACAGGCTTCTCTGTATGCACAAGAGGAAGAGGAAAATCTGTGAATATTGTTTTTTTTTCATGGTTCATTTATAATGCTTTTAGTACTGTGGGAACTTTACAGATATTATTTCTGGTACTCCAACATAAACATGATAATACCTGTGGGAAAATACTGTTTTTTTTCCTCTTTAATCCCCCCCCCACCCTTTTTTTTTTACCTTTTACTTCCTTTGGCTGGTTATAAAGAGTACAAAATTTTTTTAAACTAGAACAATGCTGTAAGTCAACAGAGAGGTTTATGTTTCCTATAGGTATCTCCCCCTCTGGCAATGTACATAGCCTTTCCCAGATGGAGCAGGAATCCCATGGGAGAACAGAGAAACAGGAAAATGACCATAGAAATAATGAGGATGAAGGCCAAAGTTATCAGGAGCTCATCTGAGTGAACTCCATAGAGAATGAATCAGCCTTGGCCTTCTCAGGATATAATTCACAGTGACTCAGTGAGAAGAATAAAGAAATGCTTTATACATCCTCTATGCAAGGGTAATCCACTGAAAAATACACTTTCCTTCTAACTATGGCCCTATATGCCCTCCCTAAATGCCATAGGAATAACCAAGTGATTATGTTCCATTTTTCAGATGAATAAAACTGAGGCTGAGAGAAGCCAAATGGTTTTTCCCTGGTCCCGTGGCTAGAAAGTGGAAAAGCCAGGGGGTCAAGTGCAGGTGCAGCACACTTGGAAGCATGTGCTTTCCCTTACAGTATGACACTGCCTTTGGGGGGGCGAGGAACTACTGAGAAGTAGCACTACAGGTGGACTGTGGAGATGGGCAGGCTTCCCACAGAGGAGCTGAAACGGAAGGATATTCCAAACAGAGGGAAGAGCCTGAGCAAATGGGAAGGTGATGTGGTCAGATGGGACAGCACAGACCACATGTGGTAGAGGGGAAACATGGCTGGGAAGGTACCTTAGAGTTAAAGGCCAAGGGCCTTGGAAACCAAAGGAAGAAGTTTTATTTTATTCTGCAGGCAGAGGTTTTTGAATAAGTAACATCAGCACTGATAAAAGGCAAGGCTTTAAATAGTGACAGTCTAATAATAATAATAATAATAATTCACTGGGGGAGGGATTTTCAACTTGAATAGCAAAGATTTTTAATTCAGACAGCATCTTTAATGTTAAATACACTTAGATGAGTTTGTGTCTATATCCAAATTTAATAATACTTGAATTTTATATACTTTTCATCGTTGCTATGTGACTATTTAAGATTTTCAACAATGGAGAGAGATACAGAAACCTAATCCACAAACCCAAGGGTCTGCTGTTTGGGGGGCATGTCCCTAGATTGGACAGGGAAGCATAGAGCTTTCAAGTTTGAAGACAGTAGCCATGTGATCATTCAGCCATATTAATCAAGAAAGAAAAGACAAGAAACAGGGTAAATATCCATCGCAAGGGAACTGCTAAAAAAATATGGTATATCTATGCAATGGCAAATTTTCCAGGTATTCAGAAAGTGATGTATACCTGCATGTGTTGATATGGAACATGGACACTACACATCTTTGAGAGAGAGAATTATAAAACAGAATATGAGAGCATGTACATTAACAAGAGTTTATATTCGTAGAACCATATGGAATTGTTGCTACTGAACAATTTCTAACCCATAAGAATGGCAACTTCATATGGTTCAATTTAGTTCATGTACATTTTGAATAAGTCTCCAGGAAATTTTCTGACACACTAAACTCTAAGTGGTGGGGTCATAGTAGTATTAGTGAGTTGAAGGGGAGGCACACAGGAATTTTTAATTTTTCGCCATATCCCTTTCTTTTCTGATTTTATTTTATGAAAGACTGCTTGGCTAATCAGCTCCCCATCTCTGATTCCACACTCACCATGTGACTCTTGGATGCAATTTTATCCACACAGAGAGAAAACAATGACGGGCAAACATGAATATCTTGTGCCCTCCACAGGTATATTTCTTACTGTAAAAAATATAAAAAGGATTCTTTTTTAAAAAAATTTGAATAATGAAAACCAAGTGGCCGTTCACTTTAATTATTTTTCCTTTCATAAAACCATGGTTCAGTGCTTTTAATGGACAAATGCAGGGGAAGTTACCAAGTACAGTGAGTCAGAAAGGAAAATTCCTGATGTTTATGAGTGCGTCAACTAAATCAGGTCATCATAGTTTCAGTATAATTCCCTCTTGTCCCATCCCTATTGAGGTGACTCACAAGCTGTAAAGGTTCTTGGTCAATTATTTCAGGTTGACTTTTGTTGAAAGAGAATACTTTCAATTTTTCTAAAAAATATAGTTTACATATAATAAAATTCACCAGTTTAAAAGGTACAGTTTGATGAGTTTTGACAAATGTATAGTCATGTAAGTTAACCATCACTATAATCAAGATATAGAACATTTTCATTTCTCTAGAAAATTGCCTTGTGCCTTTTTGCAGTTAATCTCCTTCTGTGTCTCACAGCCACTGAACCCACTGATCTATTTTGTCACATGTAGTTTTGTCTTTTCTAGAATTTCATTTAAATGAATCAAATAGGAGGTACCTTTTGTGTCTGACCCTTTCACTTAACATGATACTTTTGAGATTCATCCATGTTGTGCATTTCAACAGTTGTTTCTTTTTACTGCTGAGTATTATTCCATTGTATTTAGAAATCGCAACTTGCTTCTTCATTGACCTTTTGATGGACATTTGGATTTTCAGTTTTTAACTATTACAATAAAGCTGCTATGAACATATGTGTGTGTATGCATGTATGTTTTCATTTCTTTTGAGCAAACACCTAGCAGTGAGGTTTCTGGATTGAATCTTAAGCATATGTTTAACTTTAACTCCCCTACTCTTTCCAAAGTGGCTGGATCATTTTACATTTGTGCAATCAATTCTCACCAACACTTGGTGTCAAATTTTAACATTTTAGTCACTCCAGTAAGCGTGTAGAGATCTCATTTTTTCTTTTTTTTTTTTAGAAAAGAGCATTGCATGTGTAAATGTCTTTTATTATTCCAGAAGTTTTTTCATGCAGTACAGTATCTCACTGTATTTTTAATTTGCACTTCCCTAATGACTAATGCAGTTGTTCATCTTTTCAGGTACTATTCCTTTATGGCACTTATCATAATGTAATTATCATGTATGCATATTTATGTACTTACTGTCTGTCTCCCTCACTAAGAGGTTAGCTGCGTGGGAGCGAGCACCTTATTTGTCTTGTTGACTGCTGTGTCTCTAGGGTCTAGGGGTGCCTGGAACCAAGCAGAGGTTCAATGATTGTTGAGTAAATGAGTTTCCAGTGATCAGATGATTTAAATCTAACTGTCCGATGTGCAACTAGATGCATGGCATGCACAGTACTTGGAAGCATTGTTTCATTTAGTGAAAAAATGGCTGCGGTGGGGAGAAATATCTCTCAACAGGGGACTGGCTAAGTAAATTATAGTACATTTATACAACGGCACAGTATATGGCGGTAATGTAGATTTGTATTTGTTGAAGTGACAAATTTACCCAGACTAGTACAACTTATTGAATGGAGTGTACAGGCCATCTCTATGGTATAAAATTATTTTCATCTATCTGTATAGAGTTAGGTATCTAGAAATTATTAAAGTATTAGCAGTAATTTTATCTAGGTGGTGAGGTTTCAAGTAACAACCTTTTTCTTTGTAGTTTTTTATATTCTTTGAGTACTTTATGGTGAACATGCAATCATTTTATTTGGGCAGTTATATATAACTTGTCTGGTCATAAGAAGCTCATTCACTCATTCATTCAATACCAACAGAATTTTTACTGTGCTTTGGGCACCTCTAGACCCTAGAAGCATGTGATCATATTTCTTTCTTATGTGTTATATTCAACCTTATTCCAGAACTATTTGGAGCTGGCCACATCATCTGTTTCTCTTCACTTGGAGATATGAGTGGCTTGATGAGTGTTTATATGGCATGTACCAGGATGCCTGGCACTTGGTGGATTCCTGAATGTTAACTGTCCACATCTCTTGAGAGTGCCATTTTTTGTTGTAGTCACAGTAAGTAACACTATGGCAATGATATCCACCAGGCTGCAGGGAGGGACTTTTATCACAAACCATTCCCCTTGAGCCAATACTTCTTGACACATCTGCCATATCAGACGCTCTTTAGTTGAGGCCAGTAGTAGATGTTAAGTGAATGAGTAAACTTGATTTTCCTTTTCAGTTTTCTGAATACACTGACAGAACAGATGTCACTTTCCAAAGAGGAATGCTTAAGACTACAGGAGGTACAGGATTTAAAACAATGGACACCAATCCAAGTGCTAATGTCTCCCCTTGGCTGGTGCAGTGCCTGAAAAATTTCTACAATAGTGGCAATTGTGTTGAGGGTGTTCTGGTGGTGTAGTTCTATGCAGTTACTGAAGTCATTAAATGTCTTTGAAGTGACCTATATTATTTTAAAAATTTGAATTTTGCATTGTATTCCACAATATTTTAAAAAGTATGTTAAAATTAACGTATTTGATGAAAAACATTTTTCTCTTTTAAGTAAAATTGATGCTCAAGGAAGATCTTGTTTATCTGTAGCTTCATATTCTTCCTTGTATACCCCAGAATTCTGGGAACCCCAATTTGAAAAGTGCAGGCTTTACTATTGATGCTCTTATGCACACTTTTTAATAAGGACACAATTCTTGTGCTTAGCTTTTCAGTAACTTGAAATTAGTGCCAAGCAGGGGCCCCACGATGCAGTGCTGACAGGAGGATGGAGCTATATTAGGATTTTTGTTGCGATTAATAGAAATTTACTTGCATTACATAAGTTACAAGGAAAAACAATGGCTAGAGACAGACCTTATTATAAGGGTATGGGGGCTTCAGAGCCCAGGGAAAAGGCCAGAAGGCTGCCTGGATTCAGTCTCTGCCAGTTTCCTTCTGTCTCCACAGTTGGGCTCCTCACGATCCTGTGCCCGAGAGGAGCCACGTGGCCATCTGCTGCTCTGACTTGACAGGCTGCAGTTCCAGATGTGTAAGTGATTGACGCACAGCCAGCCACTTGGTCCCACATCCCATGGGATGCTCTGCTCCATCAAGGAAAAGTGGCATTTTCAGAACAATATGATCTCTTGGGGCCCATTCCTGCCATCTGAACCTCTTCAGAACAGATGTCACCTGGCTGACACTCTGAAGGGCATCATCAGTGGCAAAGGTCTACTGGGCTTTTAATGGAATGAGGTTGTGAGTACGTGTAGCACAGATAATGAGAGGTAACTAACTAGAGCATCTCTTGGTACACCACTTTGAAGAAAATGGTCCAGTCAAACCTGGCTGGAGACTCCTATGGTTTGTGGGACCATGTATAGTTACAACTGACCTCTTTATGACTGACAAACTTTCAACTTCTTAATAATGGTCAGTCAAATTCTCAACTGTCTGTATTATTTCTCCTGGATATTTTGTGATCTTAAAGGTTTCAATGGAGCTTAGGGCCTGTTAAAAAAAAATTAAGGCAAGTCTTAATGAGGGCTCTCAGGCAGTTCTGGAGGGCTAATTTGAAAATATTTGATATCGTACACAAACACCAGGACATGTTTCAGACAGCCATGACAGTGACACACGTGGTTTGTCCTGCCGTATCTCAGGATCGGCTTCTAGTACACATAAGGGGTCAAACAAAAATGGGCCTACATGAAGAGAAATGTCTCCCTCTTCAAAATCCTTCAATGGTTCCAAACTCCTAAGGCATATTTAACTGTTTTGACATCACCCCCTGACTTGTTCACCCGAGCCCCCTTTACTAACTGTTTTCAAAGAGGAAGTCATGGCCCATTGCTGGGGTTGTGGAATCAACTTAGTGGTTTGCCACTGGTGCCTTCAGAGAGTGGAGAATAATAATATAGAAGAGAACACAGGTGGGCACATAGCTTAATTTTGTTAAATGTAAGTTTTTGATTTATGTGTACTTGTGTCCATGTGCGTGTGTGCACCAGATCATGCAGCTAGATTGTATTTTCATCCAGATGTTTGAAAGCCATTGCTCCAGGCATGGCCTCACCAATCTTCCCTTTCTGCTCTTTCATAATTGCATGTCTTTGCACACACAAAGTACTTCTCTTGTATGACTGGCAAACACTGATTTCAGTTTTTGAGCCATTCAAGCATCATTTCTGATGTGAAACCTTTGCTCATCTCCAGGTCATCAGCAGTTGGTGACACAAACCTTTACAGCGTCAGTCTGTAAGCTTTGGTAAAGACTGCCCATGCTTTATGCATTTTTGGGTCTTCAGTGTTTAGCATAGTCAACTAAGTAATATCAATAAAGAGTTTACTAAATATTTTTTACTGAAGCTCCAAGTTCAATATGCTGCTATTCAGTCTTTCAAAACACTTGAAGCCTGAAAAGGAGTCTCTTAAAACAAGTTTAAATCATTTTCTACTAAAACTTGCTATTTAACTACACAGTACTTTACTCACCACAATTATATTCATTTTATATTAAAGTAAAAACAGAAATAGGTAAGATAGTAATTATTCTCCAAGAATGCAGTTTAAAATTGCTCTTTATTATTTCTATTTGCTACCAATAATTTTATTGTAAGAAATACAAAAGGTATGACAAATATACAAACCATTTTCTTTTTACTTCAATTTAGCTTTTGCATAAGTGAAAACAAGGAAATGGACAGTGATATTTCAACACCAATTCTTAAAAAACAGTGATTTCCATTATCTGACAATAAATACCTCAATTTGCATTCTAGCACCCAGTAAGACATCCAGTTTCCAAAGGATGATCGAGCTGTAACCCTCTGAGTTCTCCGACATGTTACCTTTGCCCTTGCAACAGTTACCCCAGGCAGTTCTTTCTTTCCAAAGATATCCTAGAGGAAGGCGCTGCCTCTGACCTCAGAGACCCTGTGGTCGCAACGCATCCCTTACTTGAACTACATTTTAAAACAGATTGCTAGTGATGGAGTATTTAATGTAAGTTTTGGTAGTCCTTGGATTACACATTTTACACGCTACAAACACTTTTTTATTTTCCTTTTCAAGTGGGAAGAGTCTAGATAAACTGTGTTGTATTTTCATCTACCTAAAGGGAAGGAAGCAAGGTCATTCAGCCCAGGGCGCTATGAAGAGGGTCACTTTACAGATAGGCTTTATTTTTTCTCTTTTTTTGTCTCAAGAGAGCTTTCTGTGTGGAATGGAGGGAAGGTCGCTAGAGGAGCCCTTCCCAATCTGCTCCTTTCTACACCTGAGGCTAACCATCCGGATAGGCTGCAGGGCCCCTGCTTCCAGAGGCCTGCCCTGCACTCGCATGTGGGGTACGCACAGGGTCTGTTCCCAGTGAGGAAGGACGCCCAGGTAAACCTGATGGGCTAGTGTGGTAACTCTCAATCTTGCATACAGAGAAAGGAGCAGAAGCAATATCTACCACTAAGCCACCTGCTGACATTCTTGTAAGACTGTTCCAGGCAGTGAATTTCCATATTGCTTCTTTGACTTGCTGAACCCAGAGCACCAAAACAGAGCATTCGTAGCAACATGAGCAAATGGAATGAGAGTAATTTTGCACCTTTGAGGAACATGCACCCTTGTAAGTCTGTACCCTGATATTACAACAGCAGAATGAGTTTCAAGTATAAAGAAATACAGTAGAAATGTAGCCTGTAGATGGACAGAAAACAGCAGCCTGGAATGTGCTTTATAGTCTTGGTTAGTTTTTCTCTCTGTACCACAGCCAAAACTGAATGCTCTGTAGAATGACTTGGTTTTAAAATCAAGATGCATACAAAGAGGCTAGAAGGCATTTGTGATGGTGCTGTGAGCACACTCTGTGCCCAGCACTAGGAACCTTCTGTGGAATGACTGTGGCCAGCTGAAGGTCAAGTAAGGGTGGTGGCCAAGCCTGAACAGCCTAAAGCACCTCTCATCATATCCTTGCTGCCCAAAGAGCGGCAGAGGATGGCAGCACCATGCAGACAGGCCAGCATGGGGGCAGGAGCGCTTTAGTGGGAGGGAGGAAGGGAGGCTGTGGATGGAGGGACATTAGTTATCCTGGGCTGGTTCACACAGCTTAGATTAGTATCTGACATGCATATGCACAATGTCTACATCTCCAGAACTGTGATTTCACACACAGAAACCAATAAGTCAAATGTTCAAAGTAAGATGTTTCTACTTCACAAAGTAAAAATGAAAAAAGTAAGCTTACTGGGTGTGAAAGCCTTGTTGAAACCTAGAAGTAAGTTTTAACTAGGCCTATGGGACTGTAACAACACGAATAATTTTACAATGAATGCAAATGTGCTTGTACAGACCTCAGAAATGATAATACTATATAAAAGCCTCTCCTAACCTGCCCTCTACAGGAACTGATACTGTGCTTTTCTTTTCTTAACACGTACTGCTCTTCTATACCAATCACTTGCCGATCAACCTTCACATCAAACTTAAGATACCAGAAATGCAACAAGCTTTTGAGGTGTTGGGACTGGTCATTGTTCAAATCCATCATTGACTAATGTACATGCAGTCCTTGTTTTTATAACCAGACTGGGTTGCTTCTGTACACAGCAAGTTGCCTGAAGCATGGAAACTTGACCTTCTCCATCTGACACGTTCTTGAAGCCTCAAGGCACAAGCAGAGTTCTGCTTTTATAGAAAACTCCCACTGTTCTCCTTTCAAAGGTCCTGCCTGTTCCCACTACTGTACCCAACACCTACATGGGCACTACATCGTGTGAGGGAAGCTTCTTCTCTAGGCCAGGTAAGAGGAGGCACCACCCAGGCACCTGTCTCTGCATCCTATCTACTCTGATGGCCATCTGGCAGAGATCCTAAATTAAGGCGGTATCTGATGCTTTTCTATCTCTAAATTTTTACTGTATTTTCACACTCTAGCATATGCACATTTTATAAAAGAACAACTATAAGGTCCTTTGCTTTTATTCCTTTACATAATGATAAAAACACCTAAACACAAATATACTCCATCTATAGACTTAAATTCTACTGATCATGTTAAATGCATGCAGCTTATCTGGGGGCTTATTCTAATTTTAATTTTCTTATCTTCATCAAGACCATGATAATGAACATTAAATGCAAATCCTAATGTGTCCTGCCTTCAGCTGCCCTTTCACAGGACTAGTGTGATTCAGAAATAAATAATATACATGAATAATAATAGAAATAATTTATGCAAATGTAGAACAACTTGAAATAGAAATTCCCCACCTCCTTAAGTGCTGATCCAAGGGCACCATGAATAGTTGATGCTATTCGCTCCATGTACTAGCTAACATACCTGTTACTGGTCATAGAAAAATAAATGAATACAGAATAAGTGAGGAGCTATAATATTCACATGTACATTGTTGCAAACACAGGACCAAAATGAGAAGATATATAATGCACCTGAGAGGGCGTGTTCAAGAAATGTATTACTGCTGGGATCTGTTTTCAATTTTCTGAGGCTTCAAGGTCAAATTCAGAGTTGCTGGTGGTCACAGAAATATTGCTAGTTAATAAATATTATTGCATTTCATAAACCTTAAGATTAGAAACTTTCAAGTAAGGGTACAAAGGCTATACCTTCAGACTGTAAGCTAAGCAGGTCAACAGAATTTGGCCAGAAAACACAGAGAATTAGAAATTAAATCACTGTGTGGTTTTATGCTTGCTGATTAGTGCTACAGTCATGGTTTTTTAGAGCAATCTGTAGTTATGTGCCCCCTTTCAGAAATCTTACCTCCATTTGAAAATCCAAACTCCTAGAGAAGGGGTTATTTGCTTGGCCAAAGAATTCACACACACATTTCCTCTGAACAGGAAAATCCCCTACCACATGAGAAAATTTCCTTCCATTACTTTACAAAGAAAACAGAGAAAGAAGAAATGAGACACTAAAGAGTTAGGAGATTTTGCCAACTGAGGATGAAGCAGAAAATAAATTTCCAAAACAAAACTTTTCCAGGCATATTTTGGCCATCATATATGTAGAATGATAGAAAATAAAAAAATAAAAAAATCTCTCCTGTAATTATACATCTTCTCTTAAAAAAGAAAAAAAGCTGTGAGCTTAGAGCTTGAGAGATGCCTGGTAGACGCTTCATGCAGAGCAGCATCTCTTTATACCCGGACTTTCGAAGAACTGTGTTGTACTTATGCACAGAAGGCACCTGTTTGCTTCCAGGGACATTTTACTTTCTAAGGTTGCAGAACAGATGCCTCTGAGTCAGCAGCAGGGCACATGGACCTCGGACAGTATCCCGCCGGGTCTGTACATCATTTCAGGCACTAACTGGTGGGCGGCGGGCGGGCCCCAGCCAGCCCCACTGCCACTCTACTGCCAAAGGGCGCGGGGCCGGGCCGCGCACCCTGAAGGCTTTCAAGTGGGAGTAAAGTTTTGAACCGAGCAAATAGAGTTCAGAGTGGCCCAACTAATCACAAACTCGAGGTTTGAATTTGGCCTTCCACTTAGGGGCTTAAACTGGAATCTACTTCAGCGGGATTTTAAGCAGAGGGATGCGGCTGGAGGTTTCTCAAGGAGCCTGTGACAGCCCCTAGCTTGCTGCACTTTGAGTCAGTAACAGTCACTGAGACTTGCCTGCCCGCTACTCTGAAGGAACGTTAAGCAGGCACTATCAAGTTACGGCTACTCAGAAGGAATAAGCTGCCCTCTGTTATGCTGTGCTAAGGAAACTCTTTGACAAATACTATTATTTCCTTCTTCCTAAATTTCAGTGACACTATTGAAGAAAATGACTTCTGAAATTAACTGAAATCAACTGGGGGATAATGAGTCTCTGAGCAGACCTGTGAATTAAAACCTAAGGCTGTATGGAGATTTGTATGCACGTAAAGTTGCCAAAGATCTGAGAAAGTGGAAAAATTAAGGACTTATGTAGATATACTCCTAAGGTATTATGTTCATAGACAAATTTTTGAAGAATTAGAATTTCTTGTGAATTTACACCTTTGATTATATAGATGTAAAAATCAGATCTTTTAATATTTTAGTGCTCTGTTTCAGCATAGCAATTCTTTAGGAAAACATTTTGTCTGCTTAATTACTGATGCATTACTCATTTTGTTCATCTGATTTTTAAATTAGGATTTAAAATTTTATTAATGTTTGAAGGCCACCATGGTAAGGAATGTGAAAGGGGGAGAGAAGGGGAGAGGGTATGGTGGCTGGAGCCATTGAGGAGTTTTAGATTCCTGATAAAACAATGCTACTCAACAGATGAATGCTGCTTTTTTAGTAATAAACCTATCTACCTTTGTAACTTCTGCACCTAGTGAGGTGTAGAAAAGTGAGGTTACTGGGTACCTCAAAAAATGTTTTGAGTAAATGAATGGCTAGGCTCTCTTTAGGCACTTAAATGATGGAAATGGGTATATTATCCACCCTCAAGAACAATTTACTTGCAGACAATTGTTCAGAACCTAGCAAACAATCAAAATAGATCTACATTAAAGAATGTTAAGAAGACTATTAATCATCTTGACAAGTAAGTGCTAGGCAAGAGTTGAATATGTGCAGAAAAACAGAATGAAGTCTTCAGAAGTACTTCTTTAGCCTTGCTCAGATTTTTTTCCCCCATGAAAGTGCCACCTTGTGGGATATACTGGAATAAAACAAGAAAGCCCATCTCTTTAGGACAGTGAATTTTAAAAGTTTGCAAGCAAAAGTCCCCTCCCTTTCCTACCATATTAACTTCAATATGCTGTAACAGTACTTAAATAGATGCTTGAAAAAAGCTTGTATTTATTTTCAAGTGGCTTTTGTTTTCTTCTTCAAGGCCAGAGCACCAGTACCAAGGAAACATAAATATGTTGATGGAAGTTCATTCATTTACCTAAATTAACTCTCTGCGAATGCTAAGAAGTATAAAACATTTTGAAAGCTGATTTGTACTTTGTTAAAAAAAACAATTGAGAAAAAACATTTCAAAAATCAGATGACTCCTCCTTCTACATTTCTGTTGTTTACAAAGTTCAGAATATAGAAAAGGCCAAAGGAATATTTTTGGTTTATTTTCTGAGAAAGTACAAGTTAGAAATGCTTGAGATATAGGTATATAACAAAATTGAGTTGAAAATCGTATTGATAGGAAATGAAAACGCTATTTTCTAATGCTTTTGGGTAAAACACTATTACTAATTATCTGAGGATACACATTGCTTGACAGATTTCTGGTAGCCTCAACCTGCTTTTCCACTATGCAGAAGGAACATGTAATTGTTTTCTTAATCACACATCTAAATGTGTATTGAATGCACATATAAATGTTTTGGGTCTCACTATTTTTTCAAAAATCTCGGTGGCATAGGAAACACATGCCTTTTAAAATATTATTATTATTATTATATACAGTGCACACTCTAGACTTGTGCAACAAGTGTAGCCTCACGTGGCTGCTTTTTCCATGAAGTGAGGAAGGAATATTGATGGTTTAGTTTGCTCAGCTCAACCTTTGCAATGGTAACTGCCTGGACCAGCTTTTCCATAAAATTTGTTTTTGGACATATCAAGTTAATAGTTGCATAAATTCTGCATATATTTGTTAATAAAATATATATAACTTTGAAACTATCCTTCTTTGAATACTTTCACTTTTTCCAGTTTTCTCTATTGCCCACTGTTTTTTTTAAAGATTTAGAAATCATATAACATCTTTATTTTTATAATATAAAGACACTTTTATGGGTCATAATGTAACACATGCATTCTTTTGAATCCTATCAATAGCTAAGAATTTGTAATATTTCAATATTTTCTTTCCAAGGTAAATATTCTATAGTTTCTGTATTAATACAATCAAGTAATTACAGTAACTTATTAACTTTTAACATTATTTTTCCTAGACTCAACTATGGAACAAAGCTTGCTTTTGGAAAATGAGACATTCTCTCATGTGCTTATCATAAAAATAGTCAAGTTGTCACTTAAAAGAAGCAATTCTTTGGAGAGAAGAATTTTAATGTTTATGATGTTATGCTATTAGGAATCTTACATGATTTAATTTCCACAAAGGAATGAGAATTGCCATCACTAACTTTTATAGGCATAATTTTAAAGAGAAGCAGCTATAGCTAATTAAAAACTCAATTTAAATACATAATATAAGGTTTAAAATATTTGGTACTAGTTAAGTTTTTTCTCATCCAGATGGAGAGTATCACATTCTGGAGTCGAACTATAAATTTCTCTATGAAAAGGTACAATCTTTCTTTAAGATAGTAATCCTGTGCATTCTGATATTTTCATTTTTACTTAAAACTAAAAGGCCGAGATTTTATTCTTAGGTGAGTATTTTGAATTATTTTTAGTAAGTCACCTGGGGCTAAATGAAAAGTCTGCCATTCATAATTTGTGTTTCCTGAGAAAATCACGAGAATACAGGAGTTTTCTTTCAAAACCAGTTTTTTGCTCCTTGAGTTCCCATCCACTTCAAAGGAAAGACAAAGTGGGAGGCTCCAATGCACAGCATTCTTATGAGCTCTTGGGAATTGTGTTTTTAAGGTTACAAGGTTAGGACCTTATTACCATTGGCCACATGATAGCTTATGATGCCTTAAATGGACAGGTTTCTCTTTACTCTTTTTAAATATAGGGTTTTACAACTGTGCACTGCACATCAATTCCTGTAGTGCCTGGGCTACTAGAACAGAATATTGTATAGAAACTATCAGGCACATTCTTGCATCATCTTAGCGAGAAATTCAAATGGGACTTCAAATCCATCACCATATTTTTACTGCTCTGAGCTGCTTCAGTACAACCCTGTGGCAGTATGACCTTTTCAGTTAACCATTGCCTAGCTTTTGGCAAAGATGTTTGAAACCATATGTCACAGAAGAATAAGCTTTGTTCAGTAAGTTTGAATTCTGCTATATGCTTCAAAGTGCCATAATGGCAAAGGTGCTTGTGTGGGATCTGGATTTCAGAAGTGGTGACCCTGGATGTACAGGACAGAAAACAAGAGGGTAATCATTCGAGTGTTAAGAACCACAGGGATGGAAGAGCTAGGACAGACTCTTAACAAGTTCAGAGAGGCCAAGATGGCCTCTCATTCTGCCTCTCAGAGCATAATTTGCCAAGTATCTAATGCCAAAATGTTTGTGCTTTAAGTTTTCTTTATAAACACTGCTGTGAAATGAACCAAAAGCACATGCTAGAAATAAAAGTTCAGCTTTCTATTTGTTTAAAATTCTAAGAATGCGGAAAAATTCCAGTTTAGAACAGCTGCATTTTTCTCGAGAGAACTTATGAAAAACTTTTGCAGAAGCAAAAACTCTGGTTATGTTCACTCTAACCATGGATATGAACCAAAAAGCTCATGATGCATCAGTGCAGTGAGTTTTACAGTTTGATTTCTTGGCCCGAGCAAAAATGTCTTTGTATTTTGACCTCTGATCAAAAGAAAGGCAGAAGTTACTTTTCCAGGGGAGACGGTAAGTACACCTTGCCATGAATGCTCTGGATTCATTATATCTCAAGCATTTATAGTGGTGACAAAACAACCAATAGTGTCACAATGAAGAAGTATAAAACATTCTTATGGCCCATCTTCTCATTCTTATCTTGCTAAAATAGAAAAATTTTCCTGCTCTTCTGTCACTGAACAAGAACAATGTGAAACATTTATGTATTAGAAAAGAATGATTCCCAACCCAAAAAGCTTTCAAAGAGAAAGGTCTCCTAAATTTTCTCTTGTTCAAGCTAGCCACATAGACTATGAAGCTAGGAGGAATTTAGGAAGGCTTGACAGTGAATAAAACATCATTTTCTACTGACGGAAGCCATGTCCATTCTTTGAAAACCCTAACTCTAAACATTGTCTAACTATTGCATGCACTAAAACATGAGTCAGAAACAAAGGTAGCTAAACTTCCCAAAAGATACTTCATTTCTGTGTCTTCTGGTTACTAGAGCTGGCTGAGCACTAATTACTTATAAGGCAGAGATGACATGGAAGATTAAGGATTGTAGAGAAAATGGCAAGAGAACAAGTAAAACTGTTCACAGTGCCCAGGTCAGGCTTGCTCTGCAGGAAGTGGGAGTGTGCACACAGCACTAGAAACAAGCATAACCTGGGGGAGGGAGAAAAGATAATTTTATAGAGTAAAAATGTATTTCTAAAAATAGTTAAAGACATTCCCTCAGATACTACACTCACAATATATTCTATACAAATGCAAAACACTAAGTAACAGTTTAAAGCCATCTGTGTGCTGGTGATAGAGAAGACCCAGTCTTCTACTCATTGTCTAGGTAACACCAGTGACTGCCAGGCAGGAAGACCGCACTAGAGCAAGGATGTAGGGGAACCTGTTAGGATAGCAGAATTTGAGCCATAGGCTACAATCTGAATCTAACTATTTATGAAAGGTTCACTGACAGAAAAAAGCAGGAGATGCACAGGAACAACTTAAGCGATCTGCTCTTAGTTATGTAATGACAGCATTATATGTTGGAGGCCCTGGGGATAGATAAGGAGGATAGTTTGCAAACAAGGCAGTGCATGGTAGAAAAAGTACAGTGTAATAGGTGGGGAAAACCTAAATGTCATTCCTGTCTCTAGTTGGAGAGAACTACTCTCCATGGGCAGGAAACAGTTTCTGACAAATTCCTAAGATCAAAAACAAAGCAAAATAACAAAAAACAATAAGGAAATAAATCTCAAACCAGGAAATAAAGGCTTTCTCTATTTTTTTTTGACAATTTTACCTATTTGAGGTACACTCCCTAAATCTATATAAAGTAAGAAAAAGCGTATAGGGTATTTTTCATAAGAAACAATAAGCATATTATACAGTTTAAAATTGACTTACAATGTGTAAATTCAGCTTTTGAAGAGTAGATAATGTGTGCTTTAAGAAACAGCTCTCTTAAATGACACTAGAATTTTCTTCTTGCTGAGTGTATAAAACTTCACCTGGATAGTGAACCTTTCACTGCTAGCAGATTTACTGCTTTTGGCCAGAAAAGAAATTTTGAGGACAGAGGCTCACCTTTCTAATTTGAGAAGCCCCTTCTGGTGAACCACCTTCAGTCAACAGATGCCTATTACTTATAGGTCACTCTGAATCTTTAGAATTCAATTATTCTAATCATTTACAGGAAGTAACACTTTAAGAGATCAAGAATCTCTCTCTCTCTCTCACACACACACACACACACACTCACTCACTCACTCACTCACTCACTCACTCATTCAAAAGTACCAAATCAGGCTCCACCAGCTGCAGAGGGATTACATCATAACTCAGCTGTGCCTGGATTGCTCACGTTACACTGGCAGCATTCAAGGTTAGAAAAATGAAATGGCAGCACAATTGGTCAGCAGCTTCTCTTCTGGAATTTTTCCCAGGTTCTTGAAATAAACAAACAGACAAACAAACAAATAAACAAATGAATGAACATAAAGCTGCAATCACTCTTGCATTGATTTTAAAACAGTAAACTAGGCGGTTTCCTTGGAGAAGCAGAGCCCATCCAGAAGACAGCAGCTAGAAGGTCTCCAGCCAGTGATCCTCGAAAGCTCTGCAGGGCTTACTCAGGGGGACCCGTCAGCTACCAAGGCTGTTCTCTGGGTGACCAGCTCAAGGCAGCGGCTCGGACTTCAGGCTGTATTCATCTCAGAGCTGTTTTGGCTGGGCGGCAGATGGGAATCCAGGTTCTCCTTGAACCTCTCCAGGTCGTGGAAGTATGGGTGAGACAGGGCACTGTAGGCAGATATTCTTTTGGTTGGATTAAATGTCAAGCACTTCTGTGATAGAGAAAGAATAATTGATTGACACAGAACATGTCCATTTAAATAATGTGCTTACACAGTTATACACTTCTTCACTGCCACTGAAGTGAGTTGGTTTTCTAAATGTCTACAAATTTCAGTCCTCTATAGAATCTAAAGACTTATCATTATCACGGTTATGCAAACCTCTTCCATATAACCTGGGCTTCTGCCCTTGAGGGGCTCACAGTCCTAGTCAGGCCCTGACTGGATTAGGGACCCTTCTAATACTCTTGAATGCTACTGACCTTGAGAAACACATACAAAGAGATAATTCTACATATAATATCAGGTGAATTTTTGGGTCCCCTGGAATCTTATTTATCCTGAGCTCCCTACCAGTTTATGGGGGCTGGCCTCCCCAAAAGTGTCTTCTGAAAATCAAAGAGCAAAAGGGCAAGCAGAGGAAGGAGTTTGTCTGTAGAATGATTCTATTGTCCCTAATAGTTATTAACATTTTGAGAAAAACTTTACAGGGGCTGATTCCCAAAGGATAGGAAAGCAGGGGCAAAGTCCTTGAGTTCTCACTTCCCAGGGTCCAAGAAGGAGAAAATTAGGCAGTGGCATTAAAAAAGGAAGCAGTCAGTTTAATCCCTGGGACACAGGAATGAAGAAAAAAAAGTTGTGGGAATATATTCAAGATACAGAGACATGTCTATTTCTGTATAGTCCTCTCTAGAGGACTGTCTGGGAGGAAGCCCTGTCTCTACAGCTATACTGATGGCTTAGAGATGGGAAGAGTGGACAGCGGAGGAGAAATCCTTAGCTTAATGTGGAGGTGTGTGAGATCACACACTTTACTACAAAGGCATCTTCAGGGCATTGCTATTTCACACAGGGGAAGAGGGGGCACTGTGCATCCTCTAGGGCCCTCATTGAAACACCTCTTTCAATACATTTCTTAATACATTAAGTCCTATAGAAATATTGTTAGAAAAGGGGGCTAAAGTTCTATTATTGCTCTACTTCAGCAGAACAATTGGCTGGCTTGAGAATTAATTTTAAAATCTTGTGAAATAATACTGTTTTTGTAAGAAAATCTGATTTACTTGCCAAATAATTGACTTATAAAATAAGCTTTGGATTTACAACTTAGTCAAGAGCTGAATCCTACAGTGGATTGGAGCATTTTTCAGCACATACTCCCTTTCTCTCCATGGAAGGGGTATTCTTTCCTCTACTGAAGTTGCCTTTGGCCTTGTAACTTGCTTTTACCAATGTGGACAGAAGTAGCAGGGTTCCTCTCTCAAGCCTCAGTCTTCAGGGGCATTCTGTGTTTCTGCTTGCCTTTCTGGGAATATCTATATTCCACCATGAGAAAAATACACCCCAGGGATCTGAAGGCCCTCTGGCCTGGGCACCAGAATGAAACACAGGGAGAAGAAGACCTATACTTGACCAACAGGCTGAAGCAGAGCTGTCTCTGCCAATCTGTTGAGCATGAGCAGGAAATGCTTACTGTCATATATGCTAGAGACATACTCTCTGGGTTGGCTGGTATGCAGCAAAAGCAGACTAATACAAGGACACCCCCAAAAATGTATCTCAGGCTCTGAAAGCAGTTAGATGGCAGGACCGCTAAAACTTTTTTCCGTGAAAGCATCATGTTTGGAATAAGTACTCAGCTTCTCAGGTTATGCATGATGAAGGGGACAAAACTAATAAAGATGTGTAGGTTTTGTTTGTTAAAAATAATTACTCCCTTGGGTTGTTGTATTAGTATGCATGAATTATATATGTTAAGAGCATTTATAAATGTTAATGTATACACCCTTTCATAAATGACTGAGGCATTCATTACAAAGTCAACCTTTTTTCAGGTAGAAATGGGTTAACTCAAAGTGCTAAACATTTCAATGTTAATTGTTTCTCTAATAAAACAACTTTTTAAAATACCTTTCACTTTACCTCCTTAGTAATTTTCAATAGACGCAACAGGTACTGCCAACGTCTCGACTGTGCATCTTGTACCGAGTGGCCTGCTTTCTGTATTAGGTTTTACTTTGTGTGCCTCTAGCACGGAACAGTGAGAGCTTTCAGAAGCTTTTGTGCTTTGAGGTCCTGAGCTCAGGACCTTTCCTTGTGGATATTCTGCTTTGTGCTTAAGTTTCCCTTAGGCTGGATGTCACTGGCTCTGCTTCTTACTCCTCTCCTTCTCCTTTTCACATCTTTGAGGACGTCTGTTGTCCACCCTCTTCCTTATCTCTTTGGTAAGTTTCTTTATTCCTTTTTCTTTGTCTCCTGCCACTTCTCCAGCCTAGCACTAGTGTGTGCACTGACTTTGAAAGCCACCACTGCTAGTAGGGGATCCTGAATGAGGACACGGCATTGTCTGTTACCTTTATGTTTTAAGTTCTTCTGAGTGATTCCTACTGATGTTGCAGTTAGGAGATATTTTGGATGTTCTGCTAGCTAAAGGAGTAGGACACTTCACCCCTAAGGTTCATTGCTGTGACTGTTTCTGTCCAGAATTCTGTACTAAGAGGAATATTTCATTCAAAGTTCCTGCTGACAAGGGAAGCCTATGGTGGCCGTATTTTATAACACATGATTGATACCTGCTCCCAGCACAGCTGCCCGGACTGGACCAGGATTGTGACCTGGCCCTAGGTAGCATATCATGGCTTGGCAAAAAGTGAGGGATGGCAGCCAGGTTCCTTGTGGGAATCTGAAGTAGGAAATACTGATGGGGCATGTTAGGAAATGTTGAAGTTTTGAGAGTGAAGGGACCAGCTAAAATTAAGGGCAGCAGATGGCACGACTAAAAAGAAGTAATGAAATGGAGAAAAGGCATTCAGGGTAGAGTAAAGGAGTTCCTAAGGGCAGGTGATGACCCGGGCAGAGACAAAGCACTTACACTCTGGGTGGCTTTCCATTTTCAGACCATGTGAAACACTCCATCAAAACCCCTTTCTTAAGATAATGCCATTTCATGTCTGTTATTTGAAACCACAGAAGTTTTCCTAAATAGCAGGTGAGCCAGCAAGTATGTATACATCTAGTAAGCCTTTGTATAGGTGAACATTCTCCCTTCTAATTAATTTATTTCAAAGGATGTGGGCCAAGGTCCTTAGTGACTGTCTTAGAAAAAAACAATGGGAGGGAATATAGCTATCCGTATCTGTAACTTGGCAGTGGAACAAACCTTGGCCTAAGCATCAGAAAATGAGGCACCATCAGGTGAAGATGAAGTTACGGCAGGTCACTGGGAAAATCCATGGCTCTGAAAATAGGCCAATCAATGGCTGTGTCTACAAACAGCTGAAGCATAACATTTCTACTCTTTGTCTATATTTGAACTTCAGAATATATTGACAGAATGGGAGCACTAGCTCCTCCAGGTCTAGCTCTTTCTGGGCTAGGTATCAAAGGCTGTTAATTCCATGGGTAAAGGATACACTCATTACTCACTGAGCTCCAAACATCGAGTATTTCAACAGGTTACTTCTCTGCTTTTGTTCTGGCCTCCAAGTACAGGGAGTTACATACAAGGCCAAGTATTACAAGTTTGAATCTCAAAAAGGGGACAGAAATCCTTAATTTTCAGTGAGGTATTTTATGTGTGCACAGTACATAGGAGCATATGTGTACATGAATCAAGAGGCTTTAAAGGCTGCATTCAAATGAATGCCCAAAATGGCAGATTAAAGTGCATGGGTCACACTCTTTCTCTTTCTATAGGAACCGAAGACATTCCATTACCAAAATGAAACAAAAGCTGCTACCAGTGTGGAAATGGAACCTGCAGTGGCTTCTGCCCTGTGTGGCCGTAGCATGTGATGCTGAACAGATGCTGTGCCCACCACCCCGTGTGGAGGAGGGCAAGTCTCTGACCTGCACAGTGCAGACCAGCTCTGCATCACATGAACTTACCAGAAGTAGGTCTCTGCCTTGTTCATCAATATCTGTTACAAACTTCTCAATTGGTTGAGGAGATTTTGAGTGAAAAGCCTGCCTGGGAAGGGCCACATCTCTAGGCCAGTCCTCTTCTCCTGGGAGTCCAATTACACTACAAAAGAACCCATAGGTGAACATAAAAATTAGCTTCTAGGCTCAAGCCATTTTCCCCCCAAATTCTGGAAGATGGTCAAGTCTGAGAGGCAGGCACAGGGGACACAGAGCCCTAGCATTCCCTGGGACTAGGCCAGGAAGGGGTGTTCTCCTGAACGGATTTCCAGGTTTCAGGAAGATGTGGTGGTAAATGTCTCTGGGTCTCTGTTTCCCTTCCCTTCCCTCAACAGAGCCCAGGTCACAAGCCTCTCCCGGAAAGAGCAGACACCCGTGTCATGGCTGCACCTGTTACTGTGTGTCTGGGGAAAGACACTGTAATCCTACTTCTGTTGGACACGCTGGGAAAGCCACATTATTGAGGTAAAACATGGACAGACTCTTGGACATAGTTACTGGAACAAATGAATGGAAATGACAACTTGAGCAATATACAAATTTGTTTAATAGCAAGATCTAGAATAAGAGTAAAAAGGAGAAAACAAAAATACTACTATTAATTATTAAAGGAAGTAAATGTGTATGTTTGGATAGAAGAGGGCAGGCAGAGGAAGAAAAGAAGAATGCTTATTAAAGAACTTAAAAAAATTTCTTTCAATTTTAGCTTTTTAGCGATTGTTATATCAATATTCCTGCATACTATCACCAGTCTCCTAGAAATCAATTCTAATCACTGAGTGATAACTTAACATTTTTGATTTACAGTTTTGAATATATTTATATTGAGTTAAATCTGGCAATATGGGCAACTAAATGCCAAAAGCCCCCAGAGAAATAGAGCATCTCCATATGTATATGTATATGTATGTGTGGTATATGATACAGATGTACTTGTATAGATATATAATATATACATAACTGTTTACATAAATAACCTTTCAAAGTGTTTTTCAGTCTATCCCCTCTTCTGATCCCCATAATGACCTCCTGTGATATGTAGGTCAGATACTATCATTTCCATTTTACATCGAGTATTTCAACAGGTTACTTCTCTGCTTTTGTTCTGGCCTCCAAGTACAGGGAGTTACATACAAGGCCAAGTATTACAAGTTTGAATCTCAAAAAGGGGACAGAAATCCTTAATTTTCAGTGAGGTATTTTATGTGTGCACAGTACATAGGAGCATATGTGTACATGAATCAAGAGGCTTTAAAGGCTGCATTCAAATGAATGCCCAAAATGGCAGATTAAAGTGCATGGGTCACACTCTTTCTCTTTCTATAGGAACCGAAGACATTCCATTACCAAAATGAAACAAAAGCTGCTACCAGTGTGGAAATGGAACCTGCAGTGGCTTCTGCCCTGTGTGGCCGTAGCATGTGATGCTGAACAGATGCTGTGCCCACCACCCCGTGTGGAGGAGGGCAAGTCTCTGACCTGCACAGTGCAGACCAGCTCTGCATCACATGAACTTACCAGAAGTAGGTCTCTGCCTTGTTCATCAATATCTGTTACAAACTTCTCAATTGGTTGAGGAGATTTTGAGTGAAAAGCCTGCCTGGGAAGGGCCACATCTCTAGGCCAGTCCTCTTCTCCTGGGAGTCCAATTACACTACAAAAGAACCCATAGGTGAACATAAAAATTAGCTTCTAGGCTCAAGCCATTTTCCCCCCAAATTCTGGAAGATGGTCAAGTCTGAGAGGCAGGCACAGGGGACACAGAGCCCTAGCATTCCCTGGGACTAGGCCAGGAAGGGGTGTTCTCCTGAACGGATTTCCAGGTTTCAGGAAGATGTGGTGGTAAATGTCTCTGGGTCTCTGTTTCCCTTCCCTTCCCTCAACAGAGCCCAGGTCACAAGCCTCTCCCGGAAAGAGCAGACACCCGTGTCATGGCTGCACCTGTTACTGTGTGTCTGGGGAAAGACACTGTAATCCTACTTCTGTTGGACACGCTGGGAAAGCCACATTATTGAGGTAAAACATGGACAGACTCTTGGACATAGTTACTGGAACAAATGAATGGAAATGACAACTTGAGCAATATACAAATTTGTTTAATAGCAAGATCTAGAATAAGAGTAAAAAGGAGAAAACAAAAATACTACTATTAATTATTAAAGGAAGTAAATGTGTATGTTTGGATAGAAGAGGGCAGGCAGAGGAAGAAAAGAAGAATGCTTATTAAAGAACTTAAAAAAATTTCTTTCAATTTTAGCTTTTTAGCGATTGTTATATCAATATTCCTGCATACTATCACCAGTCTCCTAGAAATCAATTCTAATCACTGAGTGATAACTTAACATTTTTGATTTACAGTTTTGAATATATTTATGTTGAGTTAAATTTGGCAATATGGGCAACTAAATGCCAAAAGCCCCCAGAGAAATAGAGCATCTCCATATGTATATGTATATGTATGTGTGGTATATGATACAGATGTACTTGTATAGATATATAATATATACATAACTGTTTACATAAATAACCTTTCAAAGTGTTTTTCAGTCTATCCCCTCTTCTGATCCCCATAATGACCTCCTGTGATATGTAGGTCAGATACTATCATTTCCATTTTACAGATGAAGAAACTGAGGACAAGGAGTGACATGAACTGCCAAAGTCACAGAAAGCGAGTTCAGCCACTGAATCTGGAGTGAACTCAGTTCTTAATCCAAATCCAATATTTTGTTTCCATTTAACTATGACTCTGCTCCCAAAAATGCTCTAAAATGTCAGAGGCTAAAAACATTCAGTTTCACTTTCAAAGTGCTGGCTGTTCTTTGAAAGTATAAATCTTCCTCAACACAGAACCATTTTTCCCCTTAAGAGATTGTGATTATGGCTTTCCTTTAAAAAAAAAATTCAGTTTCATATCCAGTATGGGTTTTTAGGGCCCATATATGAGTGTTATGAATTTCTGATAGGTCCATTAAAAAGTGCTCGCATCAAATTTCAGTATTTGGACAGCTGAATATAAGCGTTGACATTTGTACTGGAAAGACTGACAGAGCATAAAACCTATAAATGGCACTGATGACGGAGGACTGAAATCATTTGTTAAGTACCTAAAGTGACACTAGGGTGCAGCACTGTCCCTTTCTCTGTGCCAAAGTAACGAGTGCATTCAGAGAAAATAGAGAATTATTTCAATGAAACTATGCCAGAAAACAAGAAGAAAAATTTAAAGGTACAAAAATATAGAACTTTCTGGCTTCTTTTCTGCTGGCAGTCTCAGATCTCTGGCCTTTGCCGAAAGTGGAATTGGCTTTCTCTTGGAAGCAAGTCAAACACCCTCGTCAAAGGTTCCTTCTGGCCCACCACACTGGCTTTGTGCACTAAGGGCACTAGCAACATTAAGGAGATTGCAGACACCGGGGCTGGAGGTGGACAGAACGCCGAGTGGTGTCAGTGGGGAAAGCAGGTGACGCACGTCAGGAGCTGGCAAGCTGGTTTCAGTCACTATTGTTTTTCGTTTCAACAGAGGGTCACCGCTATGTCTGATATTCAGAGTTCCCTCTTCAAGATCGCATGCACACAAGATATATTCCACAGCGATGGGGAAGAATAGATGGGAGTTCATCACTGACTCAAAGAACCTGACATCCAGCAGCAGAGAGTACCATAGTGTTGGTCCTGAATTTGTTCACCTTACAGAGGGGTCTGTAGGAGGCCAGGGTGCCAGCTGCCCTAGGCCTTGGAAGCAACCAGACAACAAAAACAGCTGATGTTTCTCAGGCCTGAGAGCTGCTGGGCTCTGTCTCGGCAGTGGCACTGGCGCTAACAAGTCTGCTGGAGCAGCTTCTGGGCACTGAAAGAACAAACTCAAGTCCCCATTCTATTCCAACTGCTTGAAGCAGTCATGCTGGAGGAGGGCAAAGTGTTCAAGTACAATTCTTTTCTTTAGGGGCACTTTAACCAGTTTCACAGACTGCAAATATAAAAATCACCAGGATTCCTCTAAAATGTTATAGACTAATGATCAGGGCTATTTTGGCCTTTAGAACTCCCACTTTCTTCCTACTTCACCCCAATTTTTGAAGGGGTGTGGCAAATGCACAAACCCCAAAAAGGTGGCATATGGCATGCTTCATGAGAAGAAAAGCCCCTTCTTAACATCCTAGAAACATGAAAGTATACATAGCCTCACATGCACAAACACGGATACATGAATGGAACTCTGCAAATCATCAAGAAGCTATGTAACAGACAACTGGAGCCAAAGAATCTGAGCACAAGAAAGGATCCTCAAAAGAATTTAAACCAAAGTTTCATTTCTCAGGTGAAGAAGGAAAAGAACAAGAAAGTCACACTATTCATGATGAATTTTAATAAACACTAACATTTTAAAAGCATTTATTATGTACCAGGCAGGCAGTAGACAGGCCCTTGAGAGGGTGTTTCGAATGACTTTCTCAAGATTGTATAGTTATTTAGCCACAGATGTAGTACTGGAACCTAGGATTCTCATTTTCTATTTCAATGCTCCAAAGAAAACTGGACTGTATAGCGTACTGTCCAGGAACACAAAACGCAACAGTGCAAAACCAGCCTGGATGTCTAAAGGGTACTCAGTGGAGACAGGAAGCCCAGTGGGCAAGGATGGGTCACCAGGCCACCATGCGCCCCAGTCTGATGGTGGCTGCATCTGAAATGACCCCCAGCAGACAGCACATCTGAACTAAAGAACTGGAGCTCAGCCAAGCAGAGGATGGGAGCAGCAAAAAGATCCACAGGAGCAACACACAAGCTTCCAGTGCAGAGCGGTGAGGTCACATGTCATGATGGGCTCTGCATAAAGGAGCAGGCCTACCGTGTCCCACTCACCACACACAGAGTAACACTGTCTGCAGCAGCAGCTTGGGGTAGGAAAGACAAGAGATAAACAAATTATACAGCTATCAGAGAAAAGCCACTGGAAATGTTTTAGTGCTATGGACACCGAATAAAATCACAGTTATTACTCACTCCAGGATTTTTCCTAGTTGATCAACATCTGAACTTCCACGAAAAAGAGGCCTAAAAGAAAAAAGATTCTTATTAAAAACAAGGAATTTTCTTAGGTTACATTTCAATCATATTGGTCATTATCATTGTTTAACAGGAAGCAAAATATTCTTTAAGGGTGGGGAGGAAGTAAAGAATTGAGACATCTTCCCTTTGGCAAGGGAAGGTTTTTCTTGTGTTTTACTTATGTTGAGGATATCTCATGAGCATCTGGTGGTACACCTGACTGCTGTGTTCTATAATCCTGGGTATCCTATGCACAGTCACTGTGGCAACAGTGCCACCATCACATATATGGGCCCTGGTTTCAAAGTTCTACTTAACTTCCCAAGAGGTGGCACATCGCTGCCCTAGTCTGCTACCAGGGGCAAGTGGGAGTCTTGGCAACTGCTCCCGGCCAAATCGTTCTGAGGGCATCTTTTCTTACTACTCTACTTTCTCATGGTTCTCCCTCCATTTGTCCTGAATGCTGCGGCGATTTTCCTCTGCGTTAATTTTTCTGATTATGCCACTATTCTCTCTCATAATATTATTGTAGCTAACCATCACAAGTTCAAAATCTTAACTTGGCTTCAGAGGCAATTGGGAACACACAGCCCTCACTGCATACACTGAGCACTTAACTGGCAATTAAATGAGCTCACTTGGTGACATCATTGGCATTTTCCCAAGCAGATCAATACCTCTTGAAGGCACAGAACTCTCTAGGTTTGCCCCTGACCTTTGACCTAGTGTTTTACCTGAACAGATGCTCAGTTAATAAATGTATTGATTTTATATATACCTATGGTTTACACATAAATCTTCCCCAACTGCTTGGCTCAATGACTGACATAAACAGATATTTTTCAACAAAATGTGTCTTAAAAACTATTTGTAGTCTAATACCAGCAATCATGTTTTATAAATAATATCAATTTATAAAGCCTTAAACCAGACCTTTAAAATACTTTCTATGTACAATAAATGAACTTGCTACATAGGTCATACATGCAGAATCCTAAAAGGTCATAGTATTTCAATGGCTAGAAGACATCTTAAAAGTCCTCAACCATACTTTCAGATTATTATTCTAAAAAATGGTTATTTTCAAATGCAGTGGAAAATAACTTATTTGGGGCAGTGTTATAGGCTGAACTGTGTCACTCCCAAATTCATGTTGAAGCCCAGTGCCTCAGAATGTGATTGCACTTGGAGACAGGTCCTTTAAAGAGGTGATTCAAGTTAAAATGATGCCATTAGGGTGGTCCTAATACCATCTGACTGGTGTTCTTACGAGAAGAGGAAATTTGGGCACACAGAGACACAGGAGCATGTGTGTTCAAAGAGAAATAATCACGTGAGGCACAGCAGGAAGGTGAGGCAAAGTAAGAGGCCTCAAAAGAAACCAAATCTGCTGACACCTTGATCTTGGACTTCTGGTCTCCAGAACTGTGATAAAATAAACTTCTGTTATTTAAGCCACACAGGCTTTGGCATTTTGGTATGGCAGCCCTAGCAAGCTAAAACAAAGCACACCAACTTATACATCATAAATGCAGACAAATTCATAAAGAACCATGGAGTCAGGTTCTAAAAGCCATCCCAATAGGTCTTAAAAGACAGCAAGGCAGTAAGTATAAGTTTTAGAAAAGCCAAACAATGGAATCCTAACAGCTATTATTTATAGAGCACTAATGCTGTATCTGACATAGTGCCATGTATTTCCCAAATGCTCATTTAATTTTCACAAAAATTCCAGGAGTAAGTTAGTATTATTATCATCCTTATGTGCTGATGAGGAAACAGGATTGGAGATGTTCCATCACTTACCTAAGACACGTGACAAACGGCAGACTTAAAATCCAAACCAGGTCTGCCTTGCCCTAAAGCCTGTGTGCTTCATTGTTAGGCTGTAATACTTTTATTTTGGCTACAAATACTCTCTGCAAAGATTGCTGGTCACTAGAGCTGAGCTTCTGGTGTGCAGCACCAGACTGTGTGAAGAGCAGTTTGTAGAGAACCCAGTGTTGCGCAAGCAGGTGCCTGTGGGATTCTAGACTCAAGACTACTTTACAAGTGTCTGAGTGTCTTTAAATTCTTGTTCTACTTTAACAAGGAACAAAGCATTTCACCAGATTGGCTAAGGCCCTATTCTCTTCATAAAGTTATGGACTGATGGCCCTTCTAGATTTTTAAATTCTTCCCCCAGCCCAATCTTTTACAGCTGTTTCCCTCTTGTCTTCATTGGTGCACTATTTAAAAAATTCTTTCCAAAGCCTGAACTTGGGTTGCATAGAAACAACAGGACTCTTTCTTTTCATACTCATCTGTTTTCTTAATACTAAAGTAAAATGTGAAATTATAAAACTAAGTATAACTAGTATTATGAGGTTTGGGAACAAACACAAATTACTCTTCTTTATTAAGCATGCATCTCAAGTGGCTGAAGTGATGCGTGTGCCAGTCAGTAAGCACAGAGGGAACAGACAGCATCAGTTTAATCTGATGAGCTGGTTAAGTAGCTACGTAAGCATGCCAAGCCCCTCACTCTGCATGAAGACTGGTATCCACAGAAGCATGAATGAAATAAACTTTGAGGATCATGGAGCAGCTATAAATAAATATGCTGGCTATGGCTATTGGGAAGCATACACAGCAAACTGATCTGAATGGATACTGTTCCCAGGCAGAGGTGGAAAACAGTCTTCTGCCTGGATGAGCACTGAACTCCGAGCCTGAAGCTCAGCTGTGGCAGTGGCTCATGTCCTTAGCTCTGGTATTCAGGTTCCTTTATATTTTTGTCCCTTGATGATACTGCAGCTTTTTTTGCTAGCTCCACTATCCATTTAAGCAAATGCTTGTTATATTTTATCTTACATTTGCTACCTATTTAGCAGGGGACTTTCAAGTCATGTACGCTGCCACACTGCCAGAGCCTGAAGGCCTATCTCTATCGGCTGGACTTGGCCCACAAAATGAAATGTGCTTGTCCCCCTCAAGTTAGCATTGGCCTGTCAGTTTGGCCTCCTTTAACAAATACAGCAAGTAGAAGGTCTGACTTATAGCTGCTTTTCTGAGAACATTCAGCAAAAACCACTATGAGAAATACTAGAAACTCAGAGGCAGCAAATTGATGTACAGCTCAGAATGACTTTTACACCTTAGGGAGACCTGGTGAGTGACTCTAAGGTCTAGTAATTTGGCTTTGCAGCTGATATGGATTGCCCTGAGTTACACAGAGCCACTGAATTGTGACTGCATGCAAGTAACTCCTATAAAATGTATCTCTGGATGCAAATACAGTCACAAAACAATGGAAATGGGTCACGTGAAGGGTGAAACAGGCCTGACTGGAGCTGGTATTCTCAGCTACCAAGAGGTTTGTCATGAATGTGATTTTAGAAACTTCTATTCAGTTTCTTGCTAAGAATTCTGAATAGTTGTATGAGTTGGTTTATGATAGAGGATGCTGTGTACATCAGGAGTACAAAGAGGTACAATGGATTTAGAGAAAGGATGAAGCCGTTCATCACTGAACTGGGTGTGCTAAGGTGGAGCAAGGAGATGTAAGATTAAGACCATCCCAAGGGCCTTAAATGATGCTGTCTGTCTTTAAGTAAGGCTCTCTGTTAAGAAGTCTTGGCTCTATCAAGTCTCTGACATGTTTGCACCATGTGCTGAAGAAACACACAAGACTGTATTCTCACTGAGATTATTCTGAACATTTCTTCCTTCCTCAGATTAGCTGAGTTAAATATCCTTCCACACATATAATTAATGACATATTTTAGGTAGATAAATATGAATACAATCTTAGATTATTTTCTTTGGTTTGGTGGTGGGGGAGAGTTTAATTCTACTGTCCTGTAGAATGATTCAGCTAAAACACATACATGAGTCGGAACTGACTGGTTCTTCATTGCCATGACACAGAGCTGAGCTGGAAGGAAGTAGAGGGCTGAAGGGGCAAAATGGGAGAGAATAAAAGACATGGAGAGACTGAAAGACTGCCAGATAGGAAAAACCTGACGAGGTCCAAAATAACTGAATGCTGTTTCTTCCCACTGCATAAACATCTCCTTCTTCTGGAAGTCCTAGGGTGTATGTTAAGAGGCCTTGCATGAAGACTGAAGATGGAAGAGGAATGTTCTATTATATATCATGAGACAGAGGCTCATAAAAGATTTTAAAAATCATGAATATTTTTTTTTTGAGTCACTGCAGGGAGAAGGTACCTAAGCTATCCCATCTTATCTGTTTTTAGACATAAGCCTGCCGGGTAACATATTTATTAATTCTTTCAAGCTAATTATTTAAAACAAAATTAACAACAGAGAGAGAGTCTATTGAAGGTAGTAAATTTGAAGCCTGTTTTTATATTTTTAAAAATATTTCTTCTTTACATACTCTTTCCTTTTTTGGAGGTGTTAAATGATAAAGTGGCAAGATTATGCCTACCAAGGATATTTCAAATAAAGACTGTGCAGTTGCTTTATTGGATTGACACATTAAAAATGGTTTTACTGGGTGAGTGTAATAACCACAATGTTGCTCATGTGAAACCTTCATAAGATTGTACACCAATGATACCTTAATAAAAAAAATGCTTTTACTATACAGGACATTACATCAGGTTAGCAACTTATGCATTTTATGCATTTATTAACTGTAGGTGACTTGCCAGTGGTTTGGGTAATGAATGGTGCACAAACATCTGCTAAAGACCTTGGTGGAATCTAAATTTCATGAATCCATTTTCGATTTTATATGTACATTTCTTTTCTTTTACCTATACATTTCATGAATCCATTTTTGATTTTATACGTACATTTCTTTTCTTTTCACCTAGCAAATGATCCTTCTTCTTCTTCAGAAGATTTTGTCCACAATCACTTCTTGGGACTCTTACATTCTATTGAATAAACCCTCCTTCTGTCTCTCTCATGGCCCTGAGCCTCTTTCTATTTTGAATTCCCAAATGAATGACAGAGATGCCTACTGGAAGGACTTTGCCAGGCCACCCTCTGAAA